TCCACCTATGGGGGCGACCCACACTGCCGAAAATGTGCGATATGTAACGTCTTTGGTCCTAGGCTTACTACTGGTCAGAGCTGCTAAAAGATTATTTTTAGTCGAAATACAAAATATAAGTAGCAAGCATTTTCAATTATTTAAAAAAGTAGTTTGTTCAGTATTTTAGATCAGAAAAGAAACAAATGCAGTTTATAAAGCACGGAAACAAGAAATGACCCGTTGACATACTTGCCACCAAGCGGTAGAAAAGGCGGCGCATACCAGAAAGGTGTAGTGGGATCAGGCACCGACGAGCAGTGGGCGTAGAAGGGTCCCGGATGTACACGGGACCCTTCTACGCTGCAGTTGAGGATCCAACTGGTACCGAGCGTTCCAAAGGCCTCAGGTAAGCAGCCTTGGCAAGCGGTTTGGCCCTTTGGCGGCATGGCAGTGCGAAGTGGCTTTCGTTCTGAACTGACCTTTACTCCGTGTTTCCTCTCATTTCTGGCCAATGAAGTGTCATGCCGAGTTAGTGTTTAATAGCGCAGCAAATGCAATGCGAGCCGCCCTGGCTGGTCGCTTCATACATCCTATCCAGAACATGCTTTAGTGGCGCCCTTTCGAGCCGTTGACACGAAGTGCAGCAGCCGCGAAAGCTCGCTGAGCTTACTACCGTATTTATTCGAATCTAGGCCGATCATTTTTTTGAATATGAGAATACGAAACTGGGGGGGTCGGCTTAGATACGAGGATGCGGTTTCGCTGTAACCGTAATATGCCACCTCGCGGCGGTCATGAGCAAGCACAATCGCGGAAGCAACGCCATTACGCCATCTTGTTTCGCCGCATCGGTACGCCGTCTTTGTCTTCCGAAGATCAGCCCGTTTTTAGTCACTTTCGCTCGGACTGTGTCGCAATTGTTCCGGCTGAATGGCGCCGACTAGCCGATCTCATTACACGGTGGCCTTCAAGAGAAAGGTGATTCTGGTTGCGAAGGAAACATCAAATCTTCAAGCCCAGCGAGATTTCGGCGTCGACGAAAAGATTGTGAGCCGCTGGCGAAAGCAACGGGAGCAGCTCTTCAACTATGCCGCCACGAGGAAGTCATTTTCGGGACCGCAGAGAGGTCGGCACCAACGTGTGGGAACCGAAGTGGCCAGCTTCATAAGAGCGCAAAGAGCGGCCGCTCTTCCCGTCACTACAGAGACCATCCAGGCGAAGGCGAGGGAACTTGCGAAAGCACGGGGCGTACCTCGAACCGAATTTAAAGCAAGCAGGGGTTGGCTCCAAAGGTTTATGAAGAGGTTCGGATTTAGTTTGCGACATCAGACGTCCGTTTGCCAAAAGCTTCCCAGCGACTTTGAACAGAAGCTGATCGAGTTTCAGCGGTACGTGATAGCGAAAAGAAAGGAGAAAGGTTACCTTCTCGGACAAATCGGCAACGCCGATCAAACTCCCGTCTACTTTGACATGCCCGTGGCATACACCGTGAACGAAAAAGGGGCTAAAGAGGTGAAAGTACGCTCGGCAGGGTACGAAAAGCAGCGCACCACAGTGATGTTGTGCTGTACTGCCGATGGAAGGAAACTGCCAGCCACGTGGTTTTCAAGTGGAAAACCTTGCCTGCTCAGGAAGTGTTCCCGAAGAACATCATCGTGCGGGTGAACGAAAAAGGGTGGATGAACAGTGCCATGGTCGAGGAGTGGGTGAAGTTGGTGTGGCAACGTCGTCCAGGCGCGCTATTATGCCGTGATTCACTGCTTGTTTTAGACTCCTACCGTGGACACTTAACAGATTCTGTGAAAACCGTGCTGAGTAGAGGTGGTACGGATCTCGCCGTCATTCCCGGAGGCATGACTAGCCAGCTCCAACCCCTAGATGTTTCCATAAACAAGCCGTTCAAGGATAGGCTCCGCAAATTTTACACGGACTGGCTCACCGAACAAGAGCACGAGTTAACCCCGGCCGGTCGGATCAAGCGCGCCTCGTTGGGGCAGGTGGCGAGCTGGATCGCCGCTGCTTGGGACGACATACCGTCGGAACTTATCGTAAAGTCGTTCCAAAAGTGCTCTATTTCGAATGCGCTTGACGGCACGGAAGACGATGTGTTGTGGGAGGCAGACAGTGACAAAGAGTCAAGCAGCAGCAGCGACGACGACAGCGACTACGCGTGAAGCGGTGGGCAGTTCTACGTCACTACATTTTCAAATAAATATTCTGGCTTGTATCGTTTAGTGTTTCTAGTTTTCGATCGGCTTGCATTCGGGGATTTTTTTTTATTTTTTTCAACCTTGCGATTTCGTAGGGTCGGCCTAGAATCGGCGCCGGCCTAGATTCGAGAAAATACGGTACCCCTCCTCTAGTTCACGGCCACTCAAGCGACCAAGGACGTCATGATGGAGGTTATTGTTTGCTTGTTTTTGTAATTTTAATTTGCCTATACTTTTTAAAATGAAGCAAAATTCGAGAAAAGAGAAGTTTCATTAAGTTACTACACTCAGTGCACTCAGGTTCAGTGCAAATTAAAAACCAGTAAGAAAGTCCTTGCAGGGCCCCTTTCAGCGGCAAAATGCCAAAGAATGAAACTGGCTCGGACCAAGGGGCTTTCCTCGAAGATGTGCCTGGTGTTATCTGCTCACTAACTGAAGGGGGAGCATCTGGAACGTGGCAACCGTTCCTACGAATTATGACCGGGGTGCAGGGCTGGCCTCGCCTTACCACAGCGACCCCTCCGTGGCTCCCCGAACCCCCCGTGCAAGGAAACGGGACCTTGTTAGCGTATTCTTGGAAAACGCATTTGCCACATGCTTTGGTTTTGCTGTCGCTTGCTTCGCTTTCAGAAGTTTGCTTTAGTTTTTGTAGTCGCGTCCATCGCTTTGAGAGGTTTGGTAGGGTCTTTGCCCGCGGAATGAGTGCCTGGAACTGGGAGCAGAGAGAGACAGACTTCTCAGCAACACCCTCCTAACTTACACTTCAGCAACCAGTGTGCCAATATCTAACCCCGTACTATATCTGAAACCTCGCTTAATTGATAGTCCTGAATTTTTTATTAAATTACTTTTCATCTTTACGAATGTCTGAGCGGTTTGGTGGTCTGCCAGCAAAGTCACAGGTGTGAGCGAAATCGCTGGAGGTCGGAAAGCTTTTCAACAAGCGACGCCCGGCAGCGATGAAACATCCATCGTCGATGGAACAATGAAGCAAAGAACCTATACTCTTTGTGTCAGGCGGCCGCTTGCGCCACCTAGCCGCGCATGCTCAATTACGGTACTCAGCTCAGTTTCGGTTTTGAAAGGCCACTGAAATTGGTCCTTTGGCACAGGCTTGGCACAGACTACCCATATGTTGCCAAAATGTAGCAGGATGTAACATGGTTAGCCCCTTGGCACAGTTTAGTGCAGCAATCACTTTACTGGCATTGTACATGCACATAAGACTGTTAACAAAGAGCTAATCAAAAACCAAATTTATTCTGTCGTTTGTAATATGCACAGGCTTTCCAAAATCCCATAGTGTTTTTCTCGAATTAGCCGTATTTTTGGCGAGAAGTCCTCCTAAATCTAAACTCGGGGGCTGTCAGTTGACCTTAGCTTCAATGCCCCATAAAGTATTTCCTGCTTGCTTTTCAAGTTGAGAAGTTTAACAATAATTGGCTTGTAAAAAACTTCTCATTTTTGCCCAATACGGTGTGCTCGTTCTACGTCACCAACTTTTATTTGCAAACAGCTTGAAAAAAAAAGCATTGCGCGATATGTCCTGCCGCGGACTGTGACTCATTTCCTTCCTCAGGAATTCCTTTGATAAGCAGGTTACTTCTTCTCATTTGATTTTCGAGAGCATCTACAGCACTGTACAAGCTATATAATCTTTGCTGTTTTAAAAGTACTGCTTAAATTTTTTTCCTTTATTTCTGAAAATGCTTTGTTTGTGCGCTTGATTTGATATTATACTTCTGTGATTTTGCCTACCACACCTCCTAGTCTTGAAACCCAGTTTGTTAAAGGGGTACTCCACAGGTTTTTTCATTGTCTCCGATTTGCTTGAAATTTTGCTAAACTAACCAACAAACATCGCGAAATAAGTATCCCAAATATTAGGTCAAAATATTGTTTTTTCGCAAAGTTATTGAATTTACAGTTTTGGTCCTCACCGTGTTTTTCAAGCTCGAAGTCTCTACTGGCAACAATGAAAAAGTGACGTTAGTGGAAGGCAGGGGTTCACTCTTTGGGCTGTAGATTTTGTTTTAAACTGATTCAAAGCAGTTTCATGGTGTCAAATGAATGCTTGGGAAGCTCGCTGCAGTACCCGCGCTCCAGCACGGAACAAATGATTGGCGTATTCTATTTTTTGGCTGCTTGCTCGACTGGGAAGCCTGCATGCCACTGACGTCACGGCACTGAAAAGTGCGCGTATATTTGAATGTTGGTTTTTGCATCATTTTCATTTGCCGATTTCACAATACCTGTTATGAATTTCACAATTCTAAATACCATACCGGAGAGAGTAAAGGCCGGGGTGTCAGAAAATATAGTTAAATGAGGTAGCTCAAAAAATCGGTGGAATACCCCTTTAAGTGTTCGATCCCCGACGTCAGTAGGTTTAATTTATCCAAAGTTTTTTTTTCTGATGCCTTGGATTGTCAGGGATAACAGTGTTTAGCTTCTGAAGTACTATTTGGTCAAGTTTGATATCATCAGGCCCAGGGTTGGCCTCAATGTCACCACAACACATAAGCAGCTGTGCGATGCAAAGTATTACTGGCAAAATGTGAGATCTTGGGAGTACTTTGCGCAAAAAACGAGGAACTACTTTCCAACTTCCAGGGCTGTTTCCTTTTCCAGACCGTATTTTTCAGGCAGGATATACCAACCCGTGCTCTATAACCATACAGAAATCCACACCCATTGTTGACACAGTATGCAAAGATAGCAATAAAAAGCTGAAAAACAGTTGCAATGTGGAATTTGCAGTTGAAGAAAAAAAAATTAACAGCAATGAGGCTATACAACTCACCTAAAACGGAATGATGTTCAGAGGTAGAGTTCAACACTTGACCACAAATCCCGCTTGACTGGACGTGGGCAGGCCTTTTTGAAGGATTGATGATCCGGTGTCGCTAGTGTACCCGATGGTTTCCAATAGTGAAGCAGCACGTGGTGGTCTGCCTTGGAATCCAGGCGATGACACGGTCCTTCAACAGAATGGCGTTCAGAATTGGCGAGTTTGGCACTCGACCGCAAATCTCCTTGGGTATTCCGCATATTACATGTTAAGCGCTTGATTTGATTGGACAACAGCCCATGTCTAGATGAACCCAATTTTGCGGGGTGGGCGCTACCTCGGTATCTTACTGTAGTGTGTTGTACTGAATATAGTTCCAGTCTTCAATGCTCCTATCGACCCTCAAATTTGAAAAAAAGATATGTGCAACCTTACACGAGTTTATGTGGAGTGGATACAGTGAAGTGCCATCTAGATGTTTTGCCTCAAGCGTGACAGCAAACGAGAAATTGCCGGCAAATGCAACAACAGCATGGTCACACCGTGCAAGAGGCAAAAGCATCTTTTTTCTTTGACAAAACATGTAGTATCCCTCAAAGCAGCAAGTTGAAAAAAAAAAAAGCAGATGTTGCATCTTTTGGAATCTCGGCTACTTAAAATCCATTTAAAACAAAACAAAACACATTCAAAACACCAAAGATAACATCAATCGGTCAGCTGCGACATTTCCAAGTGCCTACGCATCGGGTTTATGACGCGTCATACGGGGCGCGTTAAGCGATATATCATCAGCAACAAATGCTAAGAAACAATGGCCATTTTAAAAGACGACGAGAGCACTGGGCACTATGAGAGACAACGACAAGGCCTTAAAACGTCGAAATCCCTATTATTGTTAGAAAGAGCGTTGCTTTTTACATGTAAATCTCAGCTAGTTCGTTGCCCACAATCCTAAAGGGGCCCTGCAATCATATTTAAGCGTCTACCTTTTTCGCAGTTTCCACGTCTCTTGAAGTTCGGGCAAGCCAGCGGGCACGGAGAGAGTAACTAAATATCAGTGTAACATATTTTAACCGGACGACGCAGAAACCTCCTCCACCGACGAGGGCGACCCGCGGTACCAAACGCGCGCAATATTTGAAGTCTCTGATCCTGGGCTTACTACTGGTCAGTGCCGCTAAAAGCCTCTTTTTAGTCGAAATACAAAATATAGGTGGCACGAACCGTTTCAATTATGTATAAAAATAGTTTTTATTCAGTATTTTAGGTCAGAAAAGGAACAAATGCAGTTTATAAAGTACGGAAACAACAAATGACCCGTCGACATACCTGCCACCAAGCTGTGGAAAAGGCGACGCATACAAGAAAGGAGTATGGGATCAGGCGCCGACACGAAGAGGTCCCGGATGTACACGGCGGCGCTGCGGTCGTATGGACAGGAGGATCCGACCAGCTCCGAGCGTTCCGAAGGCCTTCGGCGAGAAGCTTTGTCTTGCGGTTTGGGCGTTTCGCGGTATGGCAGTGCGAAGTGGCTCCCCCTCTGAACTGACTTTTACCCCGTATTTGCTGTTGTTTGTGGCCAATGAAATGTCATGCCAAATTAGTGTTTAATCGCGCAGCAAATGCAAGGAGAGCCGCTCTGGCAGCCCGCTGCATACAGCCTATCCAGAACATGCTTTAGTGGCGCCCTCTCGCGCCGTCGACACAGAGTGCAGCAGCCGTGAGCGCTCACGATAAGCCCACTACCCCTCCTCTAGCTTACGGCCACTCGAGCAACCAAGGACGTCATGAGGGAGGTTATTTTTTGCTTGTTTTTGTAATTTTAATTTGCCTATAACTTTTAAAATAAACCAAATTTCGAGAAAAGAAAAGTTTCACTAAGTTACTACGTTCAGTGCGCTCAGGTTCGGTGCAAATTAAAACCAGGAAAAAAGTCCTTGCAGGGTCCCTTTAAAATTGAAAGAGGGCATCGTGACAGCACTTGATACAAGGACATCCGCGCAACACAAGAAGTCGAAGCAGCCAGGGCATGAAGACCTCAACGGCCGTGTACATGTGGTACCTAAAGCATGGACTAAAAAGATTCCAAGGCACTGAACTATGCCTGTTTGTCATGCATTGATAACTTCAAAACAAGCTCGGCTGGAGGCAGCGATGGATTTGCATCACCTTCTGCAGATTGTTGTAGCTGTGCCAGATGGCATCTAGGCCCCCAACAATAATGCTGAGAAAAATGTGACCGTTCATAGAGATGACCGATTAACATATCATTCAAATTATTAATAATGGCTATTCTTCAAATGATCAGGATAACGGATTTGAGGTTTCTCCTACTACAGCAGTCACGTCTCAGGCAACAGACGCTTCAGAAATTATCAGAACTTTTGCCGGTTTCCATGACGACGACGTCGAGATACAGTTGCCGTCTGATTGAGAGGATCACTTCATGCCACTTCTTTCAGAAAATGTGAACAGTGCACATTGACTGATTTCTAGAATTCAAGCTCGTTCATGCACCACCACAAGTAATCTTTCGTGGCTGTTTGGCGATTTCATGACAAAAAGTTCCTACAGTGACTAACATTTTCGGATGTCCCATAAATATCGCTGCAGCAGGATTAAACTTTCGGCCTATATTTTCATGCTGTAGTTGGTGTATTTCTATTATCTCCACAAAGTAAGACAGGAACTGGCAACGGCCACAGCCCCTAGACGTTGCTTACCTTGTCGGACGAGCTGAATCCACTTGAGAGGGCCATATATTTTCTTCAGCCAGATTCTCCTCGGCATATCAAACACCCAATGCTTTCAGGCAGATGTCCTTGACACAAGACAGTCCCCGTTGACCATTCCAAGTGCAGAGCCTTTCACAGTGTCCTGAAGTTAAGTAGAAAGTGGTTGGTGAAAAGACAGTGGAGAACAAGAAATATCGCCAGCAAAAAATAAAAATACTGTGAATCAAGCATGCTGACAAAACGAGTGGTTGTCTCGCAAATACGAGATGGAGGTTTGAAAGCAGTGGTGGAACTGAAAAATTATGATTCGGAGCAGCTCTTGTAGCAGGGAACAACGGGTTTTAGAGCAGATTCCCATGTTTGGGAGCAGACACTTTTGAGCTTTCATGTCAAAAACTTTTTATACAATCCCTTTAAAAGCGAGCCTGTGAAAAAAAGCTTCAGTTGTTGGAGTGTGTGGAGACTATTTAAGGTAGCACACCTACAGGGGGCTTGGCTACTACAGATATTTATTTATTTATTAAACAATCATACGCCATTTTTTTCTTTTTTCAGATGTTTCAATCCCTTTTTAGGAATACCGATGGCATCTTCGGTTTGTGTTTGACATAAAAAAGATGTGTTTGGCTATTTTGTAGGGCTTGTATCACGGTGAGGTAATTGTCACAAGTTCAACATCAAAAGGGCACTTTCGTGTTGAAGGCGTCCCACGCTGTCCTCAGTCGTATTAAACCTGCTACTGTTCGTAGAGCGCCTAAGCGGAGCACACAGCTACTTTAACTGACCACACCAAGTAGCACTACTTATTCATGAGATCAATGTGAGCACCGTTCGCACAAAAACCAATAACTCTTGGCTAGGCATGCACAAACAGTGGGTTTTGGGACTGAAGCAAATTCAAACTGAATTGTGGTTTTGGCCGAATAGTTTTGAATTGAATATTAAATAGTTGCTGCGCCCTTATTCATGCCTTTCACTACTGTTACACCATGCTTAAACAAAAATTCAGCCGAACTCACAAAGGTCGTTTTTAAGCTTCTGATCGCCCACTTATGAGCTCCGTTAAATTTGATCTAGCTATATTTATAGACTGTGGCCTCAGAGAGTCCAATGCCTACATTGGGATGGCAAGTAAATGACAGATTTGACATAAAGTTAAACACGTAAGGAAGCCACACCATACTTAATTGAGGGGAATTATAAATCTTCTTGCTATATAAAAATATTTTATTCAATTCTGAATTAACACAAGCACAAGTAATGAACACAGGCTGTTAAAACATCGCTGCATAACATACACTCTTGCATAAAAGCCAGAGTTAAATTTTGAAAATTTTACTGTGACATAAATATCACCAATCATGTTTTCTTTTTTTTTTTTTTTTATTACACCAGGTGCGCACATGCGTTATTCGACTCTGAAGGTGTGTTTTTCGTCTAAGTGCGTGGCTGCACTGCGACGAAGCGAGTCACGAGATCGGGGTGTCAGCTCCACAGGTATTACTTCTCCACAGTGCATCGGTGCTTGAGGAAAAGCGCACTTAAGGGGTCTAATCCGTCGCAATCAACACTTCGAAAAGTATGAATACTGCAGTTAATTTTGAAGCGAACACTAACTTTCTTATTCTCCCGAAATTTCGTGGAAACACATATCATGGACAGCTTTATGTGTATACACGTTTTGTGGACACAAGTGTCATGGACACACGTTTCATGGACACACAATTCGTCAACACTATCAAATGATCGAAACTCGTCATGGGCATTTCATCGCGTGTGTATTAATGGGAAGCGTGTGAACCGGGTATAGGCCGAAACTACCCATTCCCGTTTTAACCCGTCAGGTTTCAACCCATTCCCAAAACGAACTTCCCATTTGAACCCGTCCCGTTTTGACCCATTCCCGAAACGGCCTTCCCGTTTCAACCTGTCCCAATTCAACCCATTCTCGAAACGCCCTTCATAGTTGAACCCGTCGTCGAAACATCCTTTACGTTTGAACTCTTCCCATTTGAACCCGTTGTTATAAAGCCCCGCACATCTCAATCTCTTCGCGAAAACTGTCCATCGTTCTAACCCTTGTTTGCGCAGTTTTCCTTCTTCAGAATATGTCCCGAAATCACGTTAATGCAATTATTGCAAAGGTGCAGGCGAGCTATTCAGTTATGTTGTGAAATATTTTTGCGTGTTAACGTATTTTTAAAATATGCAACACGTTCAGACAAGCTTCAATTAAATATATTTCTACTTGAACCACTCAAAATGTTTATTTCAAGATGGTCCCCAAAATGTGTAACTAAGAAACGGACTATATACACTGCGCGACAATGTTAAAACGAACACGATGTTAATGATTTTTCTAATTTTCCTTCAAAACAGTATTAGAGGGTACCAAATCGTACCGCGTAGGTTAGTGGCCCAGATGAGCACTTTCAAACACAGTAATAATATTGATGGCAGTCTTTTGATTTCTTTTTTAGACAAACAGCAAAAACATACAATCGCTTGTTCGCGCTAACAGTGTCGAGCTCAGTTCAATAATAGGGAGCTTTCGTAGACCGTTTTGGCCATCGCGCGACGCTCTCCGCAACCCGCTACGATACCCAGAACTCTACAGTCAAGACCATCGGTGCGCAGGCGCAGTAGCGGCTTCTTCGTTGGGGAGGGCTTAGCGGAAGGGGAAACGCGGTCTACGAAAACTTCCCAATGAAGTCTTATAATAACGCTGGCAAGCACTTTGAGTAAGCAAAAATTAGCGTTGCCGAAGGTTTTATATCAGGACGCTATTTTTAGGTTACCCAAAGCGCTTGCGTACGTTATTCTAAAACTTCCTTATAGTGAACGGGATATTTTGAAGAGTGATAAATCAGACAGGTTGACGGGCGTATGATTGCGACTTCACTATCTTGCGAGTTAAAACACAAAACCGTCGTGTACACAGGAAAAAATCATAAACTACAAAATGCTATCGCCTTGGTTGAGAAAGTCGAGCAGGAAAATCGCGTCATCAGAAAGGCGACACTCCAATTGTGATAGTTCGCGGCTGTCACCTGGTCCGCACCGGGCACCACCATTTGCAAGCTGCTTCAGAGATATCCGTGTCAAGGCCTCATCCCGTTTGTTGAGGTTGATGAAGCTGTAAATGTTTGGGTGAGCCCTCCCTGACAGCGTTTATTTTACGGGGTTGTGTCAGGAGAGGGATAAGTAAGGAAAGCAAGGAGAACAGACACTGGACACTTGAACCTAGTCAATTGTTAACGAACAACACAAACGAACCGACCCAACTGATAACGAACGATGGCTGAAGCGGGAAGGTTCTTTCGGGATAGGGCGAAATGGGAAAGGATGAAACAAGAAGGTCGTTTTGAGCCGGGTCGAAACGGGAAGGTTGTATTGGGAATGGGTCGAAACGGGAACCACCCTGTGAACACACTCATGTTTACAAACAAGCTGTAGCGCCCCTAGAGGATGCCAGTGGCGCCGTTCTTCTTACAATATTTTGCCACCAAGTGGAGAGGCATAACGGAGCATGCGCATTGGTTCTACTGCAAGAACGACGGTCGCTTCCCGCAATGCTTGGATAGAAAATGGCGTACCACTGTGATTCACCCGACTACCAGCGACCTCCGCGCTTCCCCGCGTCCCGTTGTTCGAGAGTACCAGAAGTTGCAGAGTGAATGTTACGACAGTATGAAATGCAGGACATTTTGAAGATTTGGGAATTTCTTGCGGGACGCGGGACACGAGCCCTCAACGCGGGACAGTCCCGCGAGTCACGGGACGGGTGGTCACCCTAGTTATGGGCAACGGCGACCTTCTTGCCCACACCCCCATCGCGCATGCCCGGCGTGGGCGGCGTTCGCTAGGGGCACTCCGGTTTGTTTGTAAACATGAGTTGGTGTATAAATCCGTGTTAACTTAGCCCTCTGAAACCACTAGCCAGTCTGGTTTGTGGTTGGGTAGTCTGTTAGCGGAGAGCTCCCCTCAACGGACACCTGGCGCCATCTGTGGAGGGGCGGAGAAAGCTCCACACCGACGGAGAGCTAGCGCCACGGGTGGAGAGGAGAAGGAGGATCGCAAGAAGACTCGCGCACGTCATGTCGACTGCAATTTGTAATCCGTGTTAATCCGAATTAAATCGTTGAGTTTAATCAATATCACTTCTTCTTGACCACAGTCTCAACTAACATGGCGACGAGGACTCACTAACGAAGACCACGCGGACGGGCAAGCAGCGAAAATTTGGTATGAAGCGACCGACGACTGCCTGAAAAGAAACACGAGCAGGCGGCCCACGGACGACCTGACGACGGCATCACGATACAACGCACCAAGTCACTGCAACAGTTATGTCATCGACTGACATAACAGCGAGAACGCTCAAACGACGCCCAAGTCGACATCAAGCCGAAAAGCACCACCGCATGCCGCAACCGGCACCGAAAGTGTGGTGAGCTGTCAACACGTGCACCAGCGACACCAGCGAAGAAACGCAACAAGCAACGACCGTACTGCCGTACATAACAGACTGAGGACACCGGCTGGTCAACGACTGGGGATGGCGAGGAACACATACTCTCGGATCCGTTTCCCGACCTCCACGGCGTCAGTCAGCGGCGTCCCCATCCACGGCAAAACGGAACGCAACGCGACGAGCGACTATCGGCATGACTGACCGAGACAAAGAAACGAAACACTCGACGCTGGTTTACGACGAGAAAGACAGCGACGATCCACTGCGAACGCCCCTACGAGGTACGCTGCAAACAAGCACCTCATCGATGACGAAAAACGAGTCAAGCCCGGAGCTTGCGACGCTCACGACGATGGTACAGAGTGACCATGGCCGAGCCCAACGTTACTTTGACCGAGACAGCACCGAACTTTCCAACAAGATTTTCACAGAGGCAGCGTAGACGCCCCGCATGGCTCACAGACTTTGTGACAGACTGCGAGGACGCAGTATTTTGAGTGCGGGCGTGTTAGTGGAGAGCTCCACTCAACGGACACCTGGCGCCATCTGTGGAGGGGCGGAGAAAGCTCCACACCGACGGAGAGCTAGCGCCACGGGTGGAAAGGAGAAGGAGGATCGCGAGAAGCAACAAAATGGTGAGTTGGGCCAGTTGGTTCATAATGGGAAAAGACAAGCGCCTAAAGACTAGGACAAGGCGCCTTGTGTCGTCGTCTTCTTACCTTGTCCTAGTCTTTCGGCACTTGTCTTTTCCGATCGCGAGAAGACTCGCGCACGTCATGTCGACTGCAATTTGTAATCCGTGTTGATCCAAATTAAATCGTTGAGTTTAATCAATATCGCTTCTTCTTGACCACAATCTCGACTAACAAGTCGAAATACTGTTTTGAGCCACGAGAAGGCAGGAAGGGTGTTTTAAATGAGGACGACAGAACGGGGCGCATCGCAGTTGCAGTAGCAGCTGCGTGTGAAGAGAAGACGCTACGACGAAGGAGATTGGAAATGAAAAGACCAGACGCGTGCGCAACTTCCGTGCAATCAAGGTGAAATTTTAAAAACGAGTACCTATTCTATACTTGCACATAGGATAACACTAGAGGTCACGATCGCCAATCGGTCTCTTCTCAATAAAGCTGCGCATTCAAACCGCTCATTGCTCACACAGCGGAGACTCCATCCAAAGCTACGAGCTTCGTTTTGCAACACCCGTCATTTAACATTCGTCCACAAGCCCAACGGTAATGTTGGGCTGCAGTGCCAAAACTGCAGCCCAAAACAAGAGTAAAGCTATACGCACCCCGGAGTGCGCTTCGGACGGAAATGGCTATACGCACTCCGCTTTTGCCGTATAAAAAGAGTGGACACAACGAGTTTCCTAAGCGGTGTGGTGGCATAGGGGTTAGGGTGTTCGCTTCATACGCAAGTGGACGCGGGTTCGATCCGCGGTGAGCCTACTTTTTTTTTTTTTTTTTCTTCTGAAACATTTTGTTTTGTCGAGGCATTTGACGATATTTACGACATTTCCTTTTTTGCGATGAACAGTAGAAAAAAAAAAAATCGAATGTTGTCGAGAAACTTTGCAGAACTAAATGGTATCGGACTCCCTTTCCGGAGGTGCGATCGGGGACAGCGGGGCTTGGATTGCCGGCTGGACGCCGCGAAGCGGCGTGTACTGGTTACGCTTTGTAATTAGCAGCCGATACTGTCGCCGCGAAGCGGCGTGAACGCAGGCGGGGGGCTGGGTTAACGAGCGCCCCAGTGATTCACGCGCCGTTCGAAAAGGGTGGCCCGAGCGGCATGATCTCTCGGAGGAGTGCGTATAGCCATTTCCGCGCGAAGCGCACTCCGGAGTGCGTATAGCTTTACTCCCAAAACAAACACGTGCAATCTCGTACCTGGAGCCTCCCGTTTACCGCCGGTGCACCATGTCTTGACCTAACCCGATTTCCTTGGTATCAAGACGATCGGGATAACGCTCCGCCACACCACAAGCACATCTCTCTCGAAAACTAGGACCCACAACTCTATGCCAGTGCTCTATGCTACGAACTTGCCGCCCAATACACAGCCACTGCTTTGTGTTTACCTTGGGTGCCATGTTTGTTCAGCGCGAACAAATGGAGTAAAAAAAGCCTAAAAACGGATCTTTCAAATTGGGCGGTAGCCAGCGCTCTCTATAAAGTGTATTCATTGAAGCTTTCTTTTCCTTCATCACACACACTCTGATAATGATGTTTCGAGCTACCATTCGGTGATGTCCCCAAGGAACGAAATAAAAATATATGTAATAAATTTACTACTTCCATAAAGCCCTGCATGCAACACGGCACGCGTTGCACTCTGGGAACTAGTTGACTATACTCCGTTCCACCTTTAGTCTGAGCGCAGTGGACGCCACAGGCCATCCCAGCCGATCCAGCGCCGGGAGAAAATCGCGTGACCTGCCGGTTGGGCAGAGGGACACATGGAGCTCAAGGTCACGTGACACTCTCTCCACGCTGGATTGGCTGGGATTACTCCTAGCGTCCGCTGCGCTCGGACTGAAGGTGAAACGGAGTATAGGGAGGAGAGAGGCATGGTTTCGGTTTCGATCGACACGTCGACAAGAGATTATACAGAGAGCGTGAACTATAAACGGCCGTTATCTCATGTTTTCTGGTCCCGAGAGCGCCATTTGTTATAAACTAACCTAAATGGTCAGATCTCGAAGCTTTAGCGCAAGCCCGAGACGTATAGCTTGTCCTAACACATGCTTGTTGTATTTTTGCACTTGAACCTTTCTGTTCGCGGTTCGAGGTATGTGGACGAGCCAGGACTGGGAATCTCGACGCTGCGAAGCTCGGGGATCATGCTTGTGTACGAATCAACAAGCTGTAGCAACCAATAAGTATCCATACATCGAGCTGGCGCCTTTACATTAGTGTTGTTGATGTCTGTTTGTTTGTTTCGTGCGTCCATAGACGAAATATAACTTTTTGATTACTGTTTTTCTTAATACGCCTGTCCCCGCTTGCATTCCACTAATATTCAACATCGCGTATCCGTATCCTGCAATCGTATAGGCACATTCGCACATACAAACCGTTTTAAGAAAGCAAAAGTCGAGCACTTGTGTGAAAAATGTCGCACCGTTCGTCGGAAGTGCGCCGGACGGGCATGAACCCTTATGCGGTGCGCCAAACGAACGAAATTATTCAAAGCGCATTTGACGGTTGGTAATGGCCATAATATTTGTTGTGTGTTTGCTTTCTTCCTGACTGAGTATGCCGAGTTAATTTCAGGCCCACCATTCAGGCACACATCTTGGGCGTCAGTAAAAGCTCGTCCAACAAGGCTTAGCGAGGAGTAGGGGACGCTTGCTATCCTCTGTCGTAGCTAGCCGATCTCAGTGTTTGCGAATCTTAACCTTCCATCAGCATAAAATTTGAGTGGGAGATATATGATGACACGAGGAAGACATCATAGTAACTTTTGTACAGTAGTGAGGTCGAATTTATTGCGTTTCCTGAATAGTTCATGCGTCAACGCTGGGCTCAACTTTGATACTCCTGTGAGGATGCGGCTTGCTTTTCGCCCAATGAAGTAACAAGAAGCGGACGTTTGGCAAACAAAATACGCGCAAGGCTCAAGGCGGCCAATTTTCAGCAGTAGTTCACTGGTACTATAGACGGGACCACTTGTGGGGTGAGGTGACTAAGCCACGTCTTACTAAGTTTGCCTTTCACACGCACAATATCCGGTGTTTCGGGAACCAAGGAAAGTGCCCCGGTCTTCGTTTTGAATCGATTGAAAATGAGTCTATTGTACATTCGTAAAAAGTCAGATAATCGAAAACGCAAGCAGCGCGTTCGGTCGCGGCGTGATAGCATGAGATGAAGCTGCTCAGTCGAAACCGAAACTGAGTGGCCAACTAGTTCCTAAAGTGCACTGCGTGGTATTTTGCCGCGATGGGGCGCGTCGCCTTTTGGAAGAAGTCCAATGCCGCTGAGTGGAATGGATTGGTGTTCCACGCGCCACCCGCGCACGCCTTCCCCGTATAAAAAATTTAAAGTAAATATCCAGAATAAAACATTGACGAACGCGCGTGCAAGGTGCCTTTTGTTTTAGGTTGTTTACTTCTGACGCCAGCACGTGCGGCGCGTGGAACACCAATCCCTGCATTTTCCTTGATGCTTGTCTTTTATGGCGAGTTCGTTTGAGTCCACACCTGTGCAACCAAGGAGGTTGGAAGTACTAGGAGGGGGCACGTTGCAATATTGGTGAAGCCTAGTCGTAAAAAGTTTAAACGATTTTGTGCCCAGCGTGACCGCAGATCTCTCTGGCGATTGGTGCGTCTGACATGTCACGTTTGAGATGGATGGTTGATTGTAGGAGGATCCCTGCAGGCTTGCGCGCGCTCCGTCCGGTAGGTTTTATCAGATCGAAGGCTAGACGAAGGCTAGCTACGGTCACGTGATGTGGTGAGAGTAAGGAGGAAAATGAGAAAGAGGCGATGCGTCAAGGGAGCATGGTTTGTGGAGGCCACGCGGCTGACGTCATGCCCTCTCCTACCCTCCGTGCGTGCAACACTCTGCGAGTGCAATGCATTCTGGGAGAGAACTCGAACGGTGCCAGTGCGTGTGAAACGAATTTGCTACCAACTAGGGATGATTCTGGTTGCCACCGTGTCGCTCCGTCTCCGTGGTGTCGCCGGGTCGGTACTTTTGAGAGAAGGGGGGGGGGGGGAGGATTTATTAAATCTAACCTTTTTTATTTACAGTTATGTTCATTCACCACTCAGTCAAGCCCCTTGCGCAAGTGAGCTAGTTGAAAAATATTTTGAAACCCTGATGTGTGGGGAGAGTCAGCTTTAAAGGGGCAGTCAAGTGGTTTTTGAGTTCGTGTTTTGATGACAGCTGAATTTAGACGCCTTAAGTATCCCTAAAAACCAAAAAGTATAGTCATGCGGTGATTATTTCTTTAATAAAAATGTAATTGAAGGCCGCCAAATCTCGGATCCATCCGAAAACGAAACCACTCTCATTGGTCGTCGCACGCTTATCAAAAGGATCTCGGGCCAATGGCTTTGGACGACGTTCCGTTGCGCAGTGATCCCGAGGTAGCCGCATCGGCCGAACCTCTTTGTCATTCGAGCTTCGATCATGGCGGTGTCCTCTACGCTCGAGGACCTAACGCCGTTAGAGGTTGAAGTTCTTCGGCGGACAGCCGACCTGGGGATGATTTCCTATGACGCCACTCCGACGTGCGATGTGGACGATAGCAGCGCTTCGGAGTCATGTTCGGGTTCCGAGGACGACGAAACGCAGACCTTTCCGGGCGTTCTTCGATTTGCGGTTGGGGCAAGTCGTAACCAAACCAACGTTTGACATCGCAGCGTTACCTCTGGTACGTGATGTCAAAGGATGTCGCCACGTTGACTTTCGCCTCGGGAGAACGGGGGGAACGCTGGTTCAGACATGTGCAACGAGCGCGTACCTACGACTGCGTCCGTTGCAACCGGAGCGACCGGAACGACCGCACTGCGCCGCGCGTACACGCACCTGTAACCACTACAACAAGCGCAACGGGTCGTCAGCACGGCGACCGCTTCTGTACGCCGCCGTCAGCTGTGTCAGCGGCCCCTCTAAAAAAGGGGACGCACTGCTACTCAGTGCCGTAGCAGAATATAGACAGACAGTTTTCTAGTCTAAAGCTTTATTATTTTTTCTTGATAGGCTTGCAGGGTACAGCGAATGAAAAAAATAAAATAAAAAGATGCAGAGCCGTCTTGGACGATCACGACTCTAATACACGACATTGCAATAGTACAAATATCGCCACACGCCTTTTCTACGATTATAAAAGACAATGTAATCTTAGCAGCGATATAGCAACGTAGAAATATGATTTCGTGATCAGAAAGACGTTGCGAGCGTTCAGGATTGCTAACACTAATCACTTTTCTCCGGTGATGAAAACGCGTGAAAATTCGTATCCTTTATACGGTACGCGCCAGTAATACCTTGAACTTGAGCACACGCATGAAATGCGCCAAATCAGAAATCCGGGCGATGTTCGAGGACACAAATGCTTAGAAAGCACCACTGTAGTCCAAGTAAACAAACACGACGGCACGGGCGTTTCTGCTGTCTTGAGAGTGCCGCCACGACATCGCCGCACGAGTAGGTGGATGTTCCCTTCTAGTACGTGCTGGGTTATCATAGCGAAACACGACGAAAATTCACAGTCAAGGATAGCGCTTTTACGCGGAACGATGAGCTTTCACCAGGCCGTCCATTCCGACGATCACCACCGACGCCACGTTTGCGGATAGAAGGAGCCGGCCGGCCCGCGACCGGCACGACCGGCCTGCAACGCGCGGAGATACGTGCGCTTCCGCGCATCCCTGGGGAACGGGAAATTCACCCCCCGCGGAGGAAGGCAAATAGAAAACATAGTCCTTTGTTTGTGAAACGATAATTGCGCTATCGCGTATTCTAAACTAGAAATATTTTACGTCTTGTGAAATTATCATGCACAACATATTTAAATGAACTGAAAATTGTTTTTTTAGCGAAACTTTAAAAGGACCGCCAAAATTTTCAAACATACGATAATTTCATTGGTCCTCGCAAGTACAGAAAAGAGTCCGCACGTATCTTATTCCTGCGTGATTAATAGGCGTTTCTGCCTTCTAAAACTGAAGATACTCATTCACTGACACTTCCTTAACACCATCGCACCAAAAAGTAGCTTCTCCAAAAACCGCTTGAGTGTCCCTTTAACACAAACACGAAGAAAATGTTTTATTTTAATTCAAACTTTGAATGGGACTAGTTGGTTCATTGTAATCTAAAATATTAAAAAGCGCAAAAAAAAAAAAAAGAAGATCGAGGTACACCTAAGCATTCCCTATGAGTTGTGAATGCGAAAGCATGCAAGCCGCTCGTCCGCTCCCTTTTTCGACTGCTGCGTATTTTTCGTCGCTGGTCAGCGCGTGTGCTCCATACTTGTAC